TACAAAGTGGCAATCCACTTCTATGTGCTTTGTCCTTTCGTGAAACACTGGATTAGAGGAGATATGAACTACAGCTTGGTTATCACAGTATAGCTTCATAGGAGTGTCAATCGAGTATCCCATCTCCTTTAGTAGATGCTTCAACCACACCAGTTCACATTTTGTGTGAGCCATAGCCCTATATTCAGCCTTTGCTGCTTCTTGCTACCACTGTCTGCTTCTTACTCTTCCATGTCACTATGTTCCCACCAAGAAAAGTGCAATACCCTATAGTGGACCTTCTATCAGATATGGACCTGGCCCAATCAACATCTGTGTATCCCTCTATCTCAAGACTTCCTCCACTCTTATACAACAAACCACGACTTGGAGCACCCTTCAAATACCTCACAATCCTTAGGATTGCCTCCCAGTGTGGGATTCTCGGATTCTGCATAAATTGACTCACAACACTGATTGCAAATGAGATATCAGGTCAAGTGATGGTTAGGTAATTAAGCTTACCCACCAGCCTTCTGTACTTCCCTGGATCCTCAAACTCCTCGCCTGTATCACAACCCAATCTAGCATTCAGTTCCATAGGTGTTTTAGCTGGTCTGGCACCCAACAACCTTGTTTCCTCTAACAAATCAAGAACATATTTCCTCTGGCACAGATTAATATCATTCTTGGACCTTGCAACCTCTATCCCTATGAAGTATCTTAATTTGCCAAGATCCTTTTATCTGGAAGTGATCATGCAAGTAAGTCTTCAACCTGTCAATTCTTGGTCTGTCACTGCCTGTGATAACAATGTCATCTACATATACCACCAAGAGAATCTTCCCAGCATTTGATTCATAGCTGAATACAGAATGGTCAACCTGACACTATTTCATTCCAAACTTCTTCACCACTTCACTAAATCTCCCAAACCATGCACGGGGAGATTGTTTAACTCCATAAATAGCCTTCTTAAGTCTACAGACCTTCTCACCCTCCCCCTGAGCAACAAACCTTGGTGGTTGCTTCATGTACACCTCCTCAAGAAGATCACCATGTAAAAAGGCATTCTTGATGTCAAGCTGAAACAAGGGCCAATCAAACATAGCAGCAAGAGAAATCAGAACACGAACTGACCCAATTTTGGCAACCGGAGAGAAGGTGTCTGTGTAATCAATACCATACTGCTGTGAATAACCTTTGGCAACTAACAAAGATTTCAACCGTTCAACACTTCCATCAGGTAAGCATTTAACCGTGTACACCCACTTACAGCCGACCACATGCTTACCAGGAGGAAGAGTAGTAAGGTCCCACGTATGAGTGCGAGTCAGGGCCGAGAGTTCTTCTTCATTGCTTGGCGCCACCCTGGAGAATTGAGGGCTTCCTGGACATCCTTGGGAACAGAGACAGAGGATAACATAGAAACAAACTGTCGATGGGAAGCCGAAAGGTGAGATACAGAAACATAATTGGAAATGGGATGGAGAGTGCAACTACATTTACCTTTCTTTAAAGCAATAAGAAGATCAAGGTCAGAACTTGGAGTTTGGGCTAGGGTGGGATCAACTACCGGATCTGTCGACGGTGACGAAGCTAGGGGAGGAGCCGATGCCTGACAATGTGTATACACTTGCCGGATAGGTGGTCCTCTCTCAAGTAGCTGCACTAGAGGCGAAGACAGGGTCACGACCGGAACAAGAGGAATGGGATCCTCAACAGGAACTAGAAGAGAGGGTGATGGCAACAGAGGAGAAGAAGTATCCGACTTGGAGAAGAAAGGAACAGACTCAAAAAATGTAACATCAGAACACACAAAAGAATGCTGGGATCGAGGATTATAACACTTATACCCTTTTTGAGTCCTAGCATAGCCAAGAAAGACACACTTAGTGGATCTAGGATCTAACTTGTCCATTCCAGGCCCAAGATTATGAACGAAACACACGCACCCAAAAACTCTGGGAGTAAGGGAAAAAGGAGACAACGTGGGAAACAGAACAGAGAAAGGGAACTGACCTTCAAGGATAAACATGGGCATGCGGTTAATAAGAAAGCAAGATGTGAGTACAACATCACTCCAAAAGGGTTTGGGGACATTCATCTGATGTAAGAGGGACTGAGTAGTTTCCAAAAGGTGACGGTTTTTTCTTTCAGCCACCCCATTTTGTTGAGGGGTGTAGGTACATGAGGTTTGATGGATAATGCCGTGTTGTTCTAAATATTCTTGAAAGTGTGTGGAAAAATACTCACGGCCATTATCAGAACGAAGAATTTTAATATGTACACCAAATTGATTGCAAATTTTAGCATAAAATTTCTAGAAGATAGAAAACAATTCACTCTTTTCTTTCATAAGGTAAAGCCATGTTATCCTTGAATAGTCATCAACAAAAATTACAAAGTACTTGTAACCATTATAAGACACTACTCTGTTTGGACCCCAGATGTCCGAATGGACAAGAGAAAAAGGACTCGATGTACGACTATCAACTCTAGGACTAAAGGAGACACGATGATGTTTCCCAAACTGACACGACTCACAATTTAAATTAGAAAGATGACGCAACGACGAAACAAGTAATTGAAGAGCTCTAAGAGACGAATGACCAAGTCTGTAGTGCCACTGATGAGGGGAGAGAGATGACTGAAGAGCTGTTGCCGAACCACCTCCATCAAGATAATACAGTCCACCAGTTTCATGCCCTCCACCAATCTTCATCCCCGTCTTGAGATCCTGAAACACACAAGAGGAAGGGTAAAAATTTATTGAGCAATTAAGAGACTGAGTCAATTTACTAACAAACATCAGGTTAAAGGGAAACTTTGGAACATATAAAACTGAGGAGAGGGATAATGAGTCAGTCTCAACATTACCAACACCACATATGGCTGATGTAGAGCCATTGGCAAGAGTAACAGATTGGGAAGTGCAGGATGGAGAAATGGATGAAAACACACCTGGAGTTCTAGTCATATGATCGGAAGCTCCATAATCTATAATCCAACGGGAAGATGTGGATGCCAGACAAGCCGTACCTGTGTGTGCAAGGGTAGTTGTGTTCTGTTGAGATGTACCCTGAATGAACCGCTCATACTCTTGATCCCAGACTTCCTTGGCTGTATCTAAAAACATGAAGTTCACACTAATTTTGGACTCCATGTTGTTCCATAACCAAGTCATAATTTGAGCATCCTCCTGCTCCCATTCATCATATCCTGAAGAATCAATTGAGGGTTTATCTTCCCTCACATGTTTCACTTTCTTTTTGGCTTTCAGGAAAACTTCAAAGGACTTAGCCCAAGGGACATAATTCTCACCATTTAGTTTTATAGAGGTCATCTGCACATTCAAATAATCAGAAGGCACCATCACACTTGATTTGTATTCACTGCYGTCTCCCATGACTGCACAAAAAAACAGTGGGAGGTTGTACCACTAAATTGTTACTCTACTGCCCTAATAAATCACCACACTCCACACGAATGACTGAACACCACTAGGGTTCCTAGTACCAGGTTTCAGCAGCAATACTCACACTATTCACCACTGTTTCAGCAATAATATTCACAACTGTTCATCACTTTTAGCAACAGCACTACTGTTTCCGTTTACTGTTAGCACTAGAAACCCTCACAACACACCTCACGAATAATATTTTCAGTTCTGCAACATATAAAAGAAACTTGCTACATACCACAACTTAGTTCGAAGATCATGTACCTGTCAAGTAGAGGGTACCAAATCTGCACTGTCACCATCACAAAACCAGCCCTCTTCGAAT